CACAGGGGGCACCGATGGTGAAAACTTTTTTTAGAGATAAACTCATTAGTAGTCCTCAAGCCGCAAATAGTAGGGAGGAAATCGAGATCAGGGACGAAGATGTTAAGTTTGACATGGAGAATGGAATACCAATAATTAATTTTCTAATCAGGTACACAATTTCATAATGTAGATTATGAAACTTACAGTAATTATTCGGTTGCTTGGAAAACCGATTGGGTACAAAGCACTCTAAGTTAAACTCCACAACCTGTGAAAGCCTACGGATTGGCTACACCTTATAGACCTTGATAATGATTATTATATGGTCAAACTCCAATCAACAGAGGACTATCTACATGTTCTTACTGATGGCCTTTGGGTTATATACGGTCACTACCTCACGGTGCAACCTTGGTCCACTAGCTTCTTTACTGCAAACCCATATGTTATAAATGCTATGGCCTGGATGCGTTTTCCTAGTATCTCTATCCACTATTACCGTAAGAGCGTGCTTAGAGCTATCTCCAAGGTGATAGGGAAGGTGTTTCGCATTGATTATAATACAGAATCAACTGAACGAGATAAGTTTGCTCGATTGGCGGCTGTTATTAACCTGACAAAACCGCTCATCTCAAAGTTCATGCTTCATGGGCGCTTTCAAAGGGTGGAGTGTGAGCATTTGCTAACTATCTGCTTCGACTGTGGAGTTTATGGGCACCTCAAAGATTAGTACAAAAAAAAAACATTGAGACTGTGACTAATTCAGCCAGGAGTGGAAAGCACAACTCCCAGCGAACAGGAAAATGTAGCAATATCGGAGGAGACTTACGGTTCCTGGATGCAGGTCCAATACAGGGGAAGAAAAATAGAAAAAAAGGACCCTAGCTTGCCTGTCAATGGCACAGAGACTACAAAAGGTAACAAAAAGAACAAGTCAAGGTTTAGTATGCTCTCTGACATAGAGGGAGCTTTAGAAGGACCAAATTAACTAGTGGTGAGAGATCCTAAACAGGTGGAGACAATGAAGGGAAGCATCCCCTGAGGAATAAAGAAAAGGCACTAATGGTGGGAGGTAATGGTCTAAGTACGATGAATTTCATCCCTGAAACCATGGACTTTGCCATGCCGGTCAATACAATTCCCACCATTGGACATGTGATGTCCATGAATAATATGACTGGAGAAAATAACGGGACAAAGGGATGCATTGACTCACGTGTCGCAGAGAGAACCATTAATGAGAAACTTGTGACAAGTCATGGTACTACTACACTAAAACCTTCTAGAAATACAATAATAATAATTGACGATAAGGCTGACCACAACTACGAACATAATTGAGTCTTTCCCCCTACCCCGTATCACCAACGCTCTCCTTAAGGAATTGCTCTAGGAGGGCAAATAAACTGCCTGATAGACTTGGTATCAGCAAAGACATAAAAGTCAATACGACTTTTAAAAAATAAATCAAGGTAAAAAAAGTGGACGAAACACCTACAACCACTTCATCCGCTATGATCAACCCCTTAATGTCAAAGCTCCAAGAGCTTACCAATAAGGATGTAAATCTCATGTCATGCACGATTGATGCCCTTTAGAAGGAGCAAACATAGTTTTCCTCTTGAGCTTTAACTTATTTTCATCTTTTTATTATTTTATGGATTGCTCATTTGTGGTGTGGAATTGTTAGGGTGTAGTAAAAGTGGGCTTCCGGCGTGTCTTTAAATCCTTTGTGAATATCCACAACCCCACTTTGGTGACTTTTTGGAGCCTATGATTATGAGAGAAAAAACAGAAAAAGTAATTAAGACCTTAGGGTTCGATTACTCTCACAGATTTGAGACGATCGACTTTTCAGGTGGCATTTGGATTATATGAAAAGATTCTATCAAGGTCAATGTTGAATATAATCATCATCAGTTTATCCATTCCAGGGTTAGCAGGAATGATGGACGAGAGGACTTCTCTATCTCCATCATCTATGGGAGTCCGAATTCCTAGAAGTAAAGACCTTTGGGAGGAGCTCACTGCAATTGGGCAACATAATGATCGCCCATATCTCCTAACTGGGGATTTTAATGTCATTTTGGAGGTGGTTGACTGAAAAGGAGGAGTAACTAAACGATCTAAAGGTTGCACCCTCTTTGATCACTTCATTGATGTCAACTCTTTATAACAACTTGATTATGTTGGTCGAACTTCACTTGGCGATGAAGGACCTTATTTTAACGCCTTGATAGAGCCATTTGCAACCAAAGATGGTGTAACCAGTTCCCGGAGGCTACTGCTCATCATCTTCCTAAAATGCAATCAGATCATAGGTCTCTCTTAATCATCCCTTACACCTTTCATACCCCCAATAAGGACCCTAAGCCTTTTCAATTTTTAGCTGGGTGGTTGTCCCACCCTGATTTCTTTAACTTGGTTAGGAGAAATTGGCACAACCATTTCTCCATCCAGGATAACATTAGTAGTTTCAACGAGTCTTTGCAGGATTAGAATAAAAATGTATTTAGCCATATTACCAAGAGAAAATACATTCTCTTGGCAAGACTTAATGGATCCAACAAGCTTTGGAAAGACACCATTATGGTAGGCTTCAAGAGTTAGAGAGATCCCTGGCTGAGGAATTAGATGAGGTGTTACTATAAAAAGAAATGTTATGGAAATAAAAATCTTGTTATAATTGGATATTCTTGGGGGACAAGATTGCCAAATACTTTCATGCTCAAACAATCTCTAAGAGGAAAAAGAATAGAATTAGTATGCTAAATGATGGGAATGAGAATTAGAGCACCGATGAAGAACAACTTCAGAGATGGTTGCCACCTTTTTTGAGCACCTGTATATGGCAGATGAGGGATCTATATCTCAGTACCTGTTAGGGGCTTATTTTCGAAGTTAATGACTGCTATGGTTGTCTAGTTAGACTCTGAGGTAATGGACTAAGAGATTCATGATGCTTTGTTTAGCATGTACCCACTGAAGGCTCCTAGTGTTGATGGTTTCCATGCAGCCTTCTTCTAAAACCAATGGGAGATTTTTGGTGATTCGGTTTTTTTGATGGTTAAGGATATTTTTTCAAGACAAACAGCTACCTGCTGAGATCAACAAAACCCTTATCACTTTCATTTCTAAAGTTGCAAGACTGAAAACTATTAAAGAATTTCGTTCGAGCAGTTTATTGAAGATTCTATATAAAATTATCACTAAACTCATTACGAATAGACTTAAGAGCCTTATGCTTTTCTTGATTAGCCCTATCCAAGTTAGCTTCATTACTGGGTGGAGTATCACTGATAATATTATTATTTCACAAGAGGTGGTCCACTCAATGTGGAATTTGCGAAGAAAAGACAAGTGGATGACCATTAAGGTAGACTTAGAAAAAACATATGATTGGATTCGTTAGGAGTATGTTGAGGATACCTTGATTGATGTTGGTCTCCCTCATAACCTTATCAGAGTAATCATACATTGTATGTCCTCTTATTTCATGCAATTGCTGTGGAATAATTGTCTCACCCATGAATTTCAGCCTACCAGAGGCATTCGCTAAGAGGACCCACTTTCACCCTATATATTTATGCTATACATGAAAAAACTATCCTATTGCATCAATAGCTTGGTTAGAAATGCAATGCGGAAGCCGATCTGCCTTGACAAGAAAGGTCCTGCCATTTCACACTTTTTTTTGTTGATGACCTTATAATCCTTAGGAAAGCCACTAATGACTAGGTTCGGGTTATTAAAATAGTTTTGGATGATTTTTGTGCTAGTTCATGTCACAAAGTGAGTGCAAATAATAACTTATCTTCTTTTATTACAACGTTAACACATGTGAGGCGACTATATTAGCAAGAATTTTGGATTTTAAGTCTCTAATAACCTTAGTAAATACTTAGGGGTTCCATTGTTACATGATAGGGTCAACAAAGATACTTACCATTACATCCTTGATAAAATTAACCAGAAGTTGTCTGGCTAAAATGCTAACCTCATTTCTTTTGCAGGGTGTTTAACTTTGGTCAAACTCATCTTTATGACTATCTCTGTCTATGTTATGTAAACAATAGTCTTACCAAAGATCTTATGTGATCATATTGAAGCGGTGGTCAGGAAGTTTGTTCGGAGACAAGTTAATGGCAACAAGAAGGTTAACATTGCCAGTTGAGATGATATGTGCATGCTTTTTGACGTTAGGGGGAGCTGCCTTCGACCCATCAATAAGCAAAATCAAGCTTTCTTGATGAAATTAGGTTTTGCTATGGTGGCTAAACCTAACCTCCTTTAGGTCCAAGTTCTCACCTACAAGTACAAATAGTCTAGCTTGTCATAGCACTATAAACCCACTAGGATGACCTCCCATCTTTGGCGCAATCTCAACCATCTTTGGACTAACCTTCGGGTGGGCATCAAATAGTCCATTGGTTCTTGGAAAAAATGTTAGATTCGGGGAAGACTATTGGTGTCGTTTAAGCTTCTAGCCTTTGTACTTATCAAGGAGCGGGACATCCATAAAAGTGTTAGAGATTATCTGGCGTCGTTTAGACAATGTGATTGGAAGCCCTACATTAGGTGTTGCCGATGGATATGTTGCTCCAGCTGGCAGCGATGCCGATTACTAACGAGGATAATATCTCGAATTCATGTTATTGGGGTATGATAAGCTCTAGATGTTTCTTAGTTAGCTCGGCTTACGCCCTTCTGTAGAGCGACCATTGGCATCTGGTGGATAAGAACTGGAGAGATATTTAGCGTTGATCAGGTGCTCAGCAAGTACGCACTTTTCTTTGGCTGTCTGCTAAAGGAAAGCTGTTGGCGAATTGGGAGCGTTACCGATGTCACATGACCCCTACTGCAAAATGCAGTAGGTGTGGTCGACCTGTCGAAGATGTGGATCACGTCCTCCGTGTATGTAGCATTGCAAAGCTACTGTGGTTAAAAATCATCCTCATCGAAGCCTAATCAACCTTTTTTAGTGTTGCAGTACAGGATTGGTTAATGTTGAACCTCAAAAATAGTTGGCCCTTGTGCAGGACATTCTAAGATTGAAGAGGGACTTTCGACCTTACTTGCTGGATTTTATGGACTCATATGAATAAATTTATTTTCCAGGGGAATGACAGCAGTATCGAGGAGCTTGCTAATAAAGTTTTTCTCATGACTTATTATACTTTTATGGCTACTAATATGAATCTCTTTTTTCTTCTAAGTATGACGCATAGATTTGAAGAGCTTATTACTTGGCAGAAACCACCCAGATGATGGTTGAAGGTGAACACTGATGGTGCTTATCATGTTACAACCAATTTCTCCTGCTGTGGCAGATTTATCAGAGATGAGGATAGTGTTTGCCTGAGAAACTTCAGTAGAAAAATTGGTAGTTGTTCTGTTCTGCAGACCGAACTCTGGTGAGCTTACGATGGCCTCCAAATCACTTGTGATGCTGAGTGTCATGACATCATCTTTGAAATTGTTAGCTTTCTAGCAATGCAGTTACTCACTAAGGCGGATTACAGAGTTAATGCACATGTTACCCTCGTTTGTACGATTAAGCACTTGCTGCTACATGATTGATAAGTTTACATTCAGCATACCTATCGCGAAGGGAACAAATGTGTTGGCTGACTGGTGGATGCTAACTTCTCTCTTCAGACAGGTCTCCATCCATATGCTCAAGTGTCGGATGATTTCCAGCAACTTCTCACTAATGATATCATAAGTGTTTCTTGGTTTAGGATGTACATGACGATTTTTTAGTTTTCTTAAATTTTGACTCTCTTTGTAACAAAAAAAAAGTAGCACGGTCAAAATTTACAGTATAATTGTTTAATAATTAAAATTATTATATTTTATTTAAAGTTCACAAATTCGAATTTTATTGAATATATAGAACTCATTACATTATAAGTATATTTTGTGTTGGTAGTTATTTATTTATAATACTTAATTCAGTAAAATTGAAAAAATTTATTAGTGTGTTAGTAGTATTATGGTAACTAAGTTAGTCAAAGTCCCAACAAAACTATTATGCTTTTGACAATCTAAACGCTCTACGATAATTAAAATTTATTAATTAAGATAGTTACAACTGGTTAAAAATAAATTCACATAACTTTTTATTCATGAATAATAAAATCGATATTTTTAAAATTAAAAATTATAAATAAAATTTAAAAGATAAAAAGACCTAAATGCTTCGCATGTTGGCCATTTATTTATTTTATCTTTCTCTTGTGGATACAATTAATTGCAATTTGGATCGATGTAAATGAATTTGGGTGATATCAATTTAGGAATTATAATTAAAAATAATTAATATATATATATATATTTATAGATGTTTCCTAATTAAAAGGTTCAAATTTTAATTTAGATAATTTATGGTAAAATTAAAAAAATTTGTCCAATTTTAATATAATAAATACAAATTAAATATATAAATATTTATTAGGTTGTAAATATTAGGAAAAGATAAATCGCCATATTTTAAATAATATTTCTGCTTTTTGTTGGGTGACAGTAGTTGGTCCAAATTGGTATGTGTCTATAATCAGCGAACACCCAACAGCTGTATTCAAATTGTAATTTTTTTTATTTAAAAAAAAAACGTATTTATTTATTATTTAGTAAAATAAATTAACAGTGGGGCCCACCGCGGGATGTACCAAAAATTAACCGCCCCTTCCACCTGCAAAATTACAAAAACGGCGCCGACTTGAGAAACAATTATTCAAATTTTTAAATTAAAAAAAAAAAAAAATGGGATCACAAAAAATAGCGAACCCAACTCCTCCACCTCAGCTCAGCTCAGCTCAGCTCAGCTCCGCGCTATATATAAGGTGCCCTATTTTCTCCTCTCGAAACGCTCTCTTTCTCAAACGGAGCCCTAGAGGAAGCTGCTTGTCTTCTTCACATTTTCTCTCTCGTTTGTCGGATTTAACCCTTCGGGGTCTTCCGGATACAATCTCGAATCAGAATCGGAGAGTACTATTCTTTTGTCTTCACGAAGTTTCTGGTAATCATCGAAATTCAAATCCTAATTGTTTGATCCGTTTCTGAGTCCGAGTTTTGCTGGATCTTGTCGGTTTCATCTAATTGGGTTCATTTATAGCTTCGATCGGGTTCTTGGTGTGATCTGAATTTAATTTGTTTTCTGTTGGTCTTGTTGATGTCTATTCCTCTAGGGATTTCTTTACGTGGGAGGTTGAATTGGTTGAGATCGCCGATTCCGAGGTGTGAAGTTGAGTTTTTGATTTTTTAGGTTAGGATGTGTCCGAAAGGGGTTTTCTGATGGAGCTGAGTTTGGTTTGTTTCTGGGAGAATTATTGTTTTGCTTGGTGACGATTGATTAGATGTTGGAAATGGAAGCAATTTCTTATTTCAATTCATTTTGCGCGTACTGTTCTTGCTGTACTTGGTTGTTTGGAGATAAGAAATATTTCATTTTGGCCCAGAGAAATGGCACTCAGTTTGGAGAATGTTAAGCATAGTCCTGGATAAGATTCATCTCATACGACGGCCACTCACGATTTGGTCTACTGATATCTGTACTGCCTGAGGACGGTGACTTGGTTTCCTTTCTGCTGTCTTGTTCTACTTTGGCTCAAGGTGACCAGCTAATTGGGCAACTGAAAGAGTTTAGGTTCTGTTGTTTATAAAAGGAAGATGTAGATTTTTTATGTTATTTATGATAGAAATCTAAGGACTTTTAGTTTTGAGAGTTTTAAAAAACACTCCTAGTACATCTCAGCTTCTTGCGGAGAAAATATTTAACTGTCTTACATTGTTTTTTCCTGTCAATAACCTTTGTTGTTTTGTTTATCTGTTTGTTTGTGTCAACCCTGGGAGTTAGGAGTGTGCTGAGACTTGGGAGACATCTTGTTTGGCCGGAGTCTGTAATTTGATACTTTTTGGAACATAAATCACCCTAGCTTGTTTAATGTCGTTGCAAGATATTCGAGTAACAAAGGGAGTGAATATATTGTTTTGGCAGTGGTTTGTATTGGAGTTGTTTTTCTATTCATGGGGTATAACTAAGAATGCAACTAGGGAGAAACTGGTTTTTGATATTACAATAGCACAAGATTGCTATGTTTTGGTTGAAGCAAAGGTCAGATAAAAAGAGGTCTAACTCCTGGATATGATACATGAGGACCTATAAATGTTTTTTGATAGAAATGAGGACCTGTATGTTAGCTAACCATATGGCTCCGTAGAAAGACAAAACTGGAAAACATGTGGACAATCAAATGCCAGTAGCTGGCTTATGAGGCTTTGATTAGTTTCTTCAAGTGCTCATTTAATTGAAAAAGTATTAGTTACTTAACATCCTTTGTTAGAGGGTGCTGCATATAGTCCCTTGGCAAAATTAGATTGTGGTCCCTTATGCTGTTGCAGTCAGGTTGTCTTTTAAGAATTTTAATGTTTTATTTATTAAATGCAGATGATTGTTGTATTTTTGACTTGGCCGTGGTGCCATATTTTTAGATCCCTGTAACCTGATTGTCTAGTGCTTTCTTTCCGTTTGTGCTACATTTATCATTTTTATGAGTTTCTAAATTTGGATTCTTAAGGGTGCGTTCTCCTGACACCATGAAGAAAGAAGAGTTGTATAAAACAAATTCATCCATTCTTGCACTTACAAATACTTGATGTTCTGTGGGGTGATTGAATATCTGTTTGATAACAGTACATAACTCCGAATGCTTGATTTCTATCAACATATATTTGATGTCTTTAACTGAAGTACTTCTGTGCTTTCCATCTTTTCTTTTTTGGGCTTTACTAACATCTCAAATATTCTTTCTTCCAATTGGATTTGGATGATTTCTAGCTTGTGAGGGGTATACCATTGCTCACGATGTTGTAATCTCTTGCAGTCTCAATCAAATTAGTTGCTGCTTTGTGGAGGCATCACATTTTTTAGGGTTTGTGTTGATATATTTTGACATTTTAAGATGCCAAAGGAGAGGAGAGATCGTTCTGTCTCTTATGATAGGTATAGGGCATCTCCTTTCCCTTGCAGCTCCAGCCATACCCGGCGATCTTCTCCGAGGATCCCTTCAGACACTGAGGAAAATGTGAAGGAATGGGAAGAAGTTCGCTGCCCTGTCTGCATGGAACATCCTCATAATGCAGTTCTCCTCATATGTTCATCCCATGAAAAGGGCTGCCGTCCATACATGTGTGACACAAGCTATCGTCACTCCAATTGTCTTGACCAGTTCTGCAAATCGTTTACTGAAACTTCATCGTCACTGGTCCAGCAGGTAGAAACTAGGCTTCCAGCCACGCCTGCTGTTGCTTCTGAAGCAACAGTCAATGATTTGCAAGAAGATAGAAATGAAGAAGGACCCTCCGTTCCCAATACAGTTTCTTGTGAGAACCTGTTGAAGCAAAAGTTAGTGTGCCCTCTGTGTCGTGGGCAGATTAAAGATTGGGTTGTTGTGGATGCTGCCCGTCGTTTTATGAATGCCAAATCAAGAAGCTGTTCCTGCGAGACATGCAATTTCAGTGGAACTTATACTGATCTGAGGAAGCATGCTAGGGTTGACCACCCCACTGCAAGACCATCAGAGGCTGACCCAGAAAGGCAACGTAACTGGCGAAGGATGGAGCGCCAGAGGGACCTTGGGGACTTGCTCAGCACCCTGCAATCTTCGTTTGGGGAAGAAAGGGGTGATGATAGCATTTTGCCTATTGACGATGGCGGGTGGCTCACTGTCTTTTTCCTTATTCGAGTTTTTCGTCCAGGATCCAGTCCAAGGAGC